GACAGGAAGAACAGATTACATACAAGTCCATGTCATGCAGTGAAAATGGCGCCGCCACCACCAAGATGTTACACCTACCATAACTTCATAGCGGTATTCCCGGTTAAGAGTAATCCGGATGCCAAAGACCTCCACAGTCACCACCTTGGTGTAGGAGATGGTCTGGTCCCCACGGTTCTCATTCCCCACATTGACTCTAAAAGGGGTGAGGGTGGTGTTTGGGGCGCAGAGACCCACAAGCTGGTAGATACAGGTGCCCTGGAAGTCAAAGTACCGACCATCGAAGGTCGTGTAGTGAGGGTCCCCGCAAGCAGAGCAGATGCTGTAAGAGACGGGGTAACAGTCCCTCAAGCCATCCACGACCTGGCACTGCTCCCCAGGCCGGCAACTGGCCTCCTTGCACGACACTTGACCCCCCTCTGGGCCGCAAAAGCAGAGTCTGCGGCAGCGGTCGTCAGCCCAGAAGGTCTGCCCTGCAGGAATATGGCGCCCCTCGAAGGTGCAGCCACACCGCAACAGCGGGACGCACTTCCCCCGGCTGAGAACAAAGCCCCTATCGCAGGTACAGGTCTCCACACAGGGGAACCTACACTTGGCCATGGCAGCGAGGCTACCACAGGTGGCAGGACAGGCACTGCCACACAGTTCGTACTGGCTGTTCACTGGGCAGGAGGCAGCTGCAAGCAAAAGATAGGGCACATTTATCCCCTGGAAATATTCACCCAGAGTCTCTGGTCTTACCAAGACCCTTTGCAGTGATAGTGCTATACCCCATATTAAAGTCAGCTTCCACCCCCCTTCTCCCAGATACATCAACACTTACGGCACTGGGCAGCAGCTCTCCAGTCATTAATGGCGATCCCAGCACGGTGGCAGGCCTCGGCGTACACTTGCAGGGAGCGGCACAGGAGCTGGTGGAACCCACCAGTCATGCACAGGTCATACACACAGCTGTCAAAGTAGGGCTTGGGGTCAACGGCAGAGTGGCACATGTGGAAAGGTCCTCCACCTTGGGTGATCAGTCCACAGAAGGGCAATCCCTGCCAGCGTGCCAGAAGCTCGTGTTCACAGCTCTCTTTAC